AAGAGAGATAGCAGAGTTCTTCTAAGTGAAGTAACATTCAAATGACAAAGACACCATGAGTGGAGCCTGGACCAGTGGCTCTCAGCCAGGGTGATGTGTCCCTTCCCTCGAGGGGACACGCGGCAATGTCTGCAGACCTTGGTGGAATGGGTAGGGGTCAGGGGCACTTCTAGGCATCGTGTAACATACGGGACAGACCCCCACAACCAAGGGGATAGTGCTGAGGTTGAGAAACTGGTTTCGACAAATAACAACTTGAAAAAAAAACCACCTTAGCAACTGAAATGACGGACAAGTTTATAAAAACAGTTAAACAACCCAGTTCAAAAATAGGCAAAATAAAGTGGCTCTTCCCAGAAGAGGAAGATCCATGGAAGATGCTCAGCCTCAGAGGAGTCTTGGACACACCAGTCAGAGCTCGGGGGGAACCACTCATCCCCCTCAGACGGCAGAAAAGAAAAGAAACGGTGAGGCAGGACTGAGCACGGCTGGCGAGGGCTGGGGAAGCGGCATGCCCACTGCTGCTGGAGAGATGGACATCTTAACAAGTTTTGTGGATCGCCACTTAATAATACAGAGTAAAATCTCAAGTAAACATACTCTCTGACCCAGCGCTTCCAACTTGCGAATCCATGCCGCACAGGTTAAAAGCACTGACACATTAAAAAAAAAAAGATTGCCTTAACCGGTTTGGCTCAGTGGATAGAGCATCGGCCTGCGGACTCAAGGGTCCCAGGTTCGATTCCGGTCAAGGGCAGGTGCCTGGGTTGTGGGCACATCCCCAGTGGGGAGTGTGCAGGAGGCAGCTGATCGATGTTTCTCTCTCATCGATGTTCCTACCTCTCTGTCCCTCTCCCTTCCTCTCTGTAAAAAATCAATAAAATATATTTAAAAAAAAAAAGATTAAGAAAAAAAATCTACCCAGCAATAATCTAAGCGTCAATCGTAGAGAAAAGCTGGACAGTCCACACATTTGTGTGACTATTATGTTGTATAAACCATGAGCTAGAGCTCTACCGTTGACTGGTAGGACTCTCTCCACCACCCAGCAAGTGACAAAACGCAGCTGCAGGGTAATGTGTAGAATCTGATCACATTTTTGGTAAAGACACAAAAACCCTATGTCCGTGCTCGCTTGTTTGCAGGAGCACCGAGAAAGGGGAGGAAGGGCACAGGGCCATGGTTTCCCCAGAGAGACGGGAGCAGGTGGTGAGCAGTAACTCATTCTGTAGATATGCACACATCCTCTCCCGTCTTACAATAAGTGTGCTGTGCTCTCCTGGTAATAACAGCATACGCCTTACAAAAAGAGCCGAAGGGAAGGTGATAAGGAAGGGAAAGATCAAAGCGGCTGGATGACCGGGCAGACTGGCGGCTCCGATACGAGCAGAAGGAACAGCAGGCTTCCTCTCGAAGTGACCAGATGGCCGGCTAGTCCTCTGACCGTGGCCAGGAACACACCGGGTGGGGGCTTCTTAATTCAGTGAGAGAATCTGGAGGAAAAATCCCCGAACAAGGACTACTCAGAGCCCCCTGCCTAGGCCACCGAGAAGGGTGTTTCTCACCACGGAAGCCAATTAAAAAAACAAAACAAAACTGTTCTTTTAAATGATCTGCAAAACACCTCAGGTGTCTTTTTCACATTTGGAATAAAGGGCCTGCATTTTCTCTGCTGGTACACAATTCTCTTAATTGGATGGAAACCATGTCTCCATCACGCTGTCTGTCCACTAGCAGCATAATGGCTCATTGTAAGCCTCAAAAGAATGGCCAATGATCAGACTTTGTTTTTCGAATTTATTTATTTATTTTTATTGATTTCAGAGAGGAAGGGAGAGGGAGAGAGAGAAACATCCATGTTGAGAGAGGATCATGGATGGGCTGCCTCCTGCACGCCCCACACTGGGGATCCAGCCCGCAACCCGGGCCTGTGCCCCGACGGGGAATCGAACGGTGACCTCCTGGTTCCTAGGTCGATGCACAACCACTGAGCCACGCGGCCCGGCAAGGACACTTTGTTGAGGTTGAGTGCTTACATGCTAAACTCAGTGAGTGAATGGCACTGAGAGAGACATGGTCTCTACCTTATTAAGAGAACCTTGTACCAGCAGAGAATGCATTAGCTCTTTATACGAATGTGAAGAGAACACCTAAGATCCCCAATTTATATACGGGTGTGACCTTTGGGTTACACACCTGAGCCGGATCAGGCAGCTCTAGGTTCCAATCTGAACACCATCATTTCCTAGGTGTTTTACTTAACCTCTTTGAACCTGTTTCCTCAGGCGCAGGTGGGTGCAGGGGAGAGAGGGTGCTCCAGGCGCAGGTGTGGGGGGAGGGGAGAGGGTGCTCCAGGCGCAGGTGTGGGGGGAGGGGAGAGGGTGCTCCAGGCGCAGGTGTGGGGGGAGGGGAGAGGGTGCTCCAGGCGCAGGTGTGGGGGGAGGGGAGAGGGTGCTCCAGGCGCAGGTGTGGGGGGAGGGGAGAGGGTGCTCCAGGCGCAGGTGTGGGGGGAGGGGAGAGGGTGCTCCAGGCGCAGGTGTGGGGGGAGGGGAGAGGGTGCTCCAGGCGCAGGTGTGGGGGGAGGGGAGAGGGTGCTCCAGGCGCAGGTGTGGGGGGAGGGGAGAGGGTGCTCCAGGCGCAGGTGTGGGGGGAGGGGAGAGGGTGCTCCAGGCGCAGGTGGGGGCAGGGGGGAGAGGGGGCTCCAGGCACAGGCCGGGCGAGGGGCCACACCCAGCCTGGTGTCCAGGCCCCCCCTGCCCTCTGGGGACCTCCGGGCCCTGGCGTACCCACATGGCGACGGCCAGGACCAGCAGGAGGTAGGAGAGCATCACCAGCAGGTCTATCTTGTTGTTGACGCCCCCGTCCACTGAGCTCCAGTTGGCGGAGATGCCATACCACAGGAAGGTCA